CTCCCAATGCTGCCCTCCTGGGTACCGGGTACTGCCGCCGGGATTGTCTCCTTGCACCTCATCCAGAAACTCCTCTTCCCCTACTTTTGGGCTGACCTGGGGTACCTGCTGAAAGTACTGATGTATGGACTGAGAGTGGAAATGTACCAGCTGCAAGGGAAGATTGTCACTGTCTTGGACAAGTTTGTGAAGCTGGCTGAGAAGCAGCCCCACAAGCCATTCCTCATCTACGAAGGGAAGGTGTACACCTACCGGGATGTGGACAGGAGGAGTAACAGAATAGCACAGGTCTTCCTGCACCACGGGACTCTGAAGAAGGGTGACACGGTGGCAATGCTGATGGGCAACGAACCCGACTTCATCCACGTGTGGTTCGGGCTGGCCAAGCTGGGCTGCGTGGTGGCTTTCCTCAACTTCAATGTCCGCTCCAGATCTCTTCTACATTGTGTCGTCAGCTGTGAGCCCAAGATACTCATTGTGGGAGCAGGTAGAGTATACACCTGATCCGTACATCCAAAACTTTTAATGTCACATCTCTCCCATGTATGTCTCTCCAGTTGCTTTACTGAAAACTTGATTTTCAGATGTTCACAGAATGAAAGAAACCTAGGGCTGGGAAGGGCTTCAAGAGATCATAAATCTTAAGCCTCTCAGGCAGAATCAAGTACATCCCTGCTTTGGGGACATCCATTTAACCTTTTAAAAATGTGCATTGCAGATGTTTGCAACATCTAAGTACCTCCTGTTCCAAGTGTTCAGTCACTTCAGTAGTTGCTTAATGTGTCTCAGAAAAGATGAAAATGATCTATTAAGAATAATTTCCCATTCCTTTTTAAATAGTCAATTTCAATCTTCTTCAAGTTCTGTACTTTATTCTCCTTTACTATCTCGTGATCTTGCTAGTGATCAAAACCACTGCAAACCAGAAAGTCTAAGCTCAGACTATACTCTCTGCTGTACAACTGTTTGGAGAGGTACCATAGTCTTCCAGGCACTAAAATTCAGAGGTAGCACAGAGGAGGTTGATTTGTAATAACCAACTTACTGTTGGTGTTGGATTGTAGAAGAAATTGCTATGGTTCAACAGGAGATAATAGTGTGTGTTGTGTAAGTTTCCAGAGTATTACATTTTTATTAAGTGCTTCAAAAGAATTTAAAATCTTCTTGTAGGTGTGCTGTGCATTGTATATTCAAATTTGGCTTCAATTATAGAGATGTGTAAACTGAAGACAGATCCAAAACCTAAACTTGACTCAACATTTATGATCAAGTGCAAGTGAACCTACAATGCGAAAAGATCACACAGAATCTTGACATTTGGTTGGAGTAGGATATTTCGAAATACTAAATACTAATGTTGTCCTGCCTCTCTAAAATTGTTATTTCAAGTCTACCTTATTTCTATTTCACAACTTCTTGCCTTATTCCTGTTACACCGGTTGTGGGGTTTTGCATCCATGAAACTATAAATGGTGGAATTTCCTTCCAGCTGTTCTCTGCTGCTGCACATTTGTGCTTTCAAAAATGTATTTTAGATTTTTCCTTTGCTTATTTTTTAATTACAAATTTTGTCATTCTGATTGTATATGGTATGCTGGTTTAAGAATGCTTGGCAATTAAAACAAGCAAATGAAACAAAAGCCAATTTAAATATAATCCCAAAGCACATGATAACAATACTTCTGAACTGACAGGTTTTAATTTTGTCTTCTTTCTTACGTTATAAAAAAAACCCCCTCATTTAACACCCTCTCATGAATATGTGCTTTTGAATGTATGATTTGAAGAATGGAATTAATGTTCAGGAAATTCTTGCTTATTGACTTTGGTGAAAGAGAACTTTTGATCAAAACTTTTATCTAAGAGTAGTCTTTATTAAAATGAGACCTTAACTAATGAATGAAAAAAGCATTTGC